AGAAGGCAATGTCCAGTGATGGTTTCCCATTCGTGCATGACAGGCTGAGGAAGTGCAGAAGAGCCACACATCTGAAAAATATAAACAGTTTACCTTATTTTAGAATATTATCACAATGTTTAGCCATATTCTGTGTCATAAACAGATTGTCAAGCATTAATTAGACGGCAAATCAGCAGAAATAAAATCTTACACATCTACCCAAATTTTTAATGAACATGTTATGAAAAAAAATTCCAGGAAGCTTACCATAAGACGCAGCTGTCGAGCAGCAGAGGCAGATGTAGCTTGTTGCTCTGGATCCATTGTGTGGTAACCTTGTATCAATCTAGTATACATTGTTGGAACCTTGTGCATAACAAAGACAACATAAATTATTAGCATTCTACACAGAAAATTTTTCCTGACTAAGAATGAAAAACTAGAATGATATATGACACACATGGTCATGCAAGGAAAAAAAATGTCATTCTCCCTAAAACTAGCCTGCTACGGATATAATTGTCCAAGAAAGGGAGTTTATGAATTAAGAATATAAGAACTTAAAAAGGGAGCAGCATTTTCACAATCGGAATTGAGTATGGATTTTGAGCACATCGCTAAATCCAATAATAGATCTATTCAATTCTTTTCAAAAGTTTTCTTCGTATTTAAATGATCATAACTAAATACCAGTAAATTTTGGTGTAAAATAAAATCAGGAGTCAGCACCATGTGCCTCTATGTTCTATTCATGCAAGATTAAACTACACAAGATTTAAAGTACTGCAATGTTTAAGGTGCAAATCACACTTACCCCCGTAAAAACGGTAATGGCATCATCAGTCTTATTCCCATTTATCGGGTATGATTCACGCCATCTTTGCCAAATACTCCTTACGCTAAACTTTGGCATAAATTCAACCTTCAACAAAAAAAAAGACGTATTAAACCAATAATGCTTGTTAAATAATTTGTCCAAAAATAATACAATAATAACTACTATACTGCAGCTGAATAGCAACTGTTATATAGCACTTTTGTTGGTTAAATAAGTAAATGAACAAGAAATATATAACTTGACGAAAGAAAAGAACAAGGAACTCCACAAATCAGAAAATGGTAAGTAAATGGTATTACTTACCGATGCTCCAGCATACAAAGGGGCAAATAAAGCATTAAAAAGCCCGTGAACATGTATTGTATGAGTTAAGGAGATCAAAGTAGAGAATATTCTCAAATCAGGTATTCAGCATCAGCACTAAGAAGGTAACAATGGTATAAGCAAGGAAGAATACTAGACCCATAATATCCACAGAACTCATTCTATTTCGATTATATTAATGTTTGTTGATGGATATGATGTAGTGGTAGACAATGCAGAAACTGATCAGTAGATGTATACTCCCAGGCATCAGCCAGCATTTTCACCTGAAATAAAGAAAAGCTTGTCAAAAGGTAAATCCCATTGAAGAGATAAAAAATAACAGAATAATAAGGAAATCAAGAATGTCAAGAAGTTCACTATTTCATTATCTGCTACTCTGCTCATTGCATATGGTAGTAGTTTCAAAAAAAATTATTATTTCCAAATATATATCATACTTCCAACTTCCAAATATAGAAAGGCATCTCTGTTCTAAGAACTGATTTGGAGAACAGTTAGACAAAGGAAAAAATGTCTCTTTTATTTTAATTGCATGGGATATTGTATAGGATATTAACATATGCATATCATTAATTAAGCTTCTATATTGTATACGATATTGTAATTGAGAACCTAAATACAGAACAGATACAAAAGTTTAGAAGAACCTGTGCAGAGATGCTCTTGTGGGTATGAACTACTCCTTTAGGTTTACCTGTTGTACCACTAGTATAGACGATCAATGCCGGATTTTCATCTGCACATTAAAAATGAAAACAAGGAGTATGAACCGAAAGATTTGTCCAAAAAAAGGATGACTATTTTTGCAAATTATCATAAAGATTAACCATTAACACTACCAGAGTTCTATATATTACCAATCTCTGTAATTTGTGATTCATCAGTCGTATTTGAGGATGAGAAAGTGCTGGAAACAGGAGGAATAAGAGAGAACTGTGCTGCACATCTAGTGGCAACACTTTGCATAGATTCACCGTAGTCTTCAGTACTCAATACAACCGATATATCCTAATACGGTAACAAAAAACAAATTGAGTAACATTACGCATTAAAAAAAAGAAGAAAAAATAATAAATTCCAAGTGAGAGAATGCACCACGGCATGAAAGGAAATATCCCCCAGCATTCATAGGGTACTTTAGCACTAGTTATCTGCCATTAAATGCATACTGAATTCACCAATTAGCACTAGTCTAATACTTTAAGTCTATTACAAGTATATTAAAGTTGTATACAATCTATCACCAAGAATTATTCTGAATTCAGCCGCAGAATACTATTTGAAAAGCTTACAAAGCCCATGGTTAAAGATTAAACGCAAATGTGAACTGAAGAAATATATTCGATCTGGATTCCTAGCTTATGGACAAAAACACATGTTCCTTAATCTATAGGACTAGTCTATTCTCAATTAAGTTCAACCATTGAATGAGACAAATAAGGATAAAGTAGATTAAATTTGAAAAACAAAAATAGTAAGCAATTTAAAGAAATGGAGAATACAGTTAATTCCCGGGGATACCGAATCGTTCATAACATGCATGAGCTCAGCCTCAGGATGGCTGAGAGCTAGTGGAACGGCAACACCTCCACCAAGCCAAGTACCCAGCACTCCAGCCACGAACTCAGCAGAAGGTTTAGCAACAATACCAACTCTAGCTCCACCAAGCTTCTCATGTACACTAGCGCCTTTATTATTCTAAAATCACCAAAACATAAGTATGAAAAAACTACAAAAAAATTCAATAGATATATTTGCTCAAATGAAATGGCACCCAACACATACAATTTCGCTGTTGGTGCTGGATAACAGTCTAGATATGTTGCATGCAGAGGAAAGGAGCTGCGTGTAAGTATAGCTCTTTTGATCAGCTCGAATTGCTATTCTCTCAGCAACAGATGGCCTCCAAGCAGCTTTGACCACCTCCATGAATGTACCCAGTTCTGATCCCACTTCCAATAGACAACCCAAAACAAAACAATTTAAAGGGTATATAATAACACATTTCCTCGAACAGCAAACAGGCAATCAACACAAAGCAAAAACAAATCAGAGAGAACTTACAGAATTGAAAGGGAGACGAGGAAGAGAAGGGAGCGTGATGAAAGGGGGTCTGAGAGAAGGACTAAAATAATAGAAGCGATGGCGATTAATAGCCGAGGGGCGAAGTAGCGAGACGTAGTTGAGACCTTTAAATGAGTAGTTGATGATTGTTGGCATTTTTTACCCAGTTTTTCTTCTTGTATTAAATTCGGATGCCGAATCTGTGTCCTGCTAATGTCTTCCTACTTTTTTAATGAACCGATTATTTGGTTACAGTTTGAATTCAAAGTGGTAAATTTCGAAAACTACAGCTTACAGATAATACGAGAAACAGTGACGAGTTTTTGGTTTTTAACGGCGGATTGTGATCCCACGGAAGATTTTGGACGGCGATGGTGACGGTGACCGGTAATTGATTAGCTAAAAAAGGCTCTAACGCCTAACTAATGCTTAGAGTTCACCAATTAATAAAAATAGAAAATTAGATCAAGTTTCTTAACCAAAAAAAGGTAGATCAAGTTTTTTAATTAGAAAACTAAATATTAAAATATAACTTTCTTTGTATAATTATCGATATTTAATATATTGATCTATTAATTCGAACCTACAAAGGTAAGGAGATCATTCTAACCTAATTTACTCTATTCAGAAACGTCAAAATTTAAACTTTTGTTCTTACTTTTGAAAGCTAATGTCTTATTTCACTAAACTAACTGGTTATTGATTAAAATATGATTTTAAATATTAAATAATTCTAAATATAATAATGGTTAATAAAATATATATATATGTACACTTTTTAGGGTAAATTATTTGAATGGCCACCTTACTATAGGATTAGTGTCGATTTGATCATCATTTTCAAAATTTTATTAATATAACTACTTAACTATTTAATTGGTTTCAATATAATCACATATCGTTAAGATTTAACGGAAATGCTTACGTGACAGTTAATAAAATTAGTATTGCATATTTGATCTTCAATCAAGAGATGACATTTTTCAACATATGATTATGACACGTGTTACAGTTGACATGGGTTAACACTTGATTAAAGGTTTTTTTTATAAAATTTAATTTATTTAATTAAATTATAAATGTTTTTCATACTTATATGTTAGAAAATGTTAAAATTGAGTTTTCTTAAGAGGAAAGTTCTAATTTTTTGTATGCTTACCCCCGAATGCAATACAAAACAATCCTATTACAAAAAAAAAGTTCTAATTTTTTAAAATTAATAGTGTTGCAAAGGTTAATTGACGATAACAGAACGATCATCGATCAATTTCAATGGTCAAAAGATTTCGTTTGACAAGAATTTTAACATAGTTCAATTTCAAATTAATTTGATGATTAATAATGATAAATTAAAAAAATTTAGCTTTTAATATTTCTTAGACGACTAGCTTCATCACAAATCCAAATCATGTTCTTCACAAGCACCACCACCACCACAAATATTCTCTCCACGTTTCCCATCAGCTTTTGGATTTGAAGGGGTGGTTTTACCATTTAACCAAATTAGTAATCAACATTCATGCATGTACGTATGCTGTGTGTGTATTTATTATGTATGATGTGAACATTTGGAAGAGCGAAAACATGAGAGATTGACATTCATATATGGATGTGTTAGTAGAAGTCATCATAGTATAGTTGGTAGATCAGAAAGTTGTCCATTTTATTTCTCTGCAATGATTTGGAGTGCAAAATCAGAAACGCCTTCATTTAAAGCACAAATCCCCCTTTTGATTTTGGTGGCTAGACTCAAATCCCATGAAAAATGAAATTGGAGAAATGAAGCATATTATACCAAGTGACAAAACCTGTTAATTGCTCTTAGAATTTTACATGAAGGTGTTCCAGTCTATGACAATTGGCACCATTTACAGAAGTATATATCATTCGGACTGATAAGCCGGTAGGATTAGATGCAAGACCAAGCAAGGGCATGCTTGCATTCAGCAGAGCCCTGAGAATTAATAACATGGCCAACAAAATCAGGATGAATAAACTACTGCAAGAAGAAACTTACAATGTGTCTATTAATTCAGAATGCATGAAGAAACTTATATACCTCTATTCTTATTGAAGAAGTGCCATTTCAATCTCTTGAAGTGATTTTCCTTTGGTTTCCAACACATTTTTCTTTACAAAAACTACTGCCACCAGACAAAACGTACCAAAAATTGAATTCAGGACTAACGGTCCGATCTGCTCCAGCAGCCGCAAAAATAACAGTCCGACGAAGAAGTTTACCACCTGTTACAAACACCAAAGTCAAAGAAAAGGAAATATGGACAAACAAAAGAGAGAAACTGCCCAAGATTCAAGTGCCTGTTACCCAATGGAAAGCCATGCAAATTGCCACAGCATTTGCCCTAACCCGCCCGGGAAACATTTCTGATAGGAGGATACTAGGGACTGGTCCAGCTCCAATAGCAAAGGTCAAGACAAACCTGCCACACAGGTAGCATATTGTATTTTGCAATTCATGATGGATTAAGCGGAAATCCTCAATATGTAAATTGACACTAAGCCGCACAGATTTAATAAGCTTATTTCCACTCTGAAAACAAACATTTTGATATTCAAAGGATTAACTACTTACAAAAGCATGCCTCCAACAGAGAGATAAACCGCACTGCTTCTTGACACCAAGGAACTGGCTGAAATTGCCTGAAGACCCATTGCCACTACCTGAAGCACCAAAGCATAAATTGAAAATTGACTAGTGCGTCAAAATTGTATTGAAAATAAAACAAGTTGTTAGGGTGAAGTCTAGCAGTCAGATATACATGTAACACAATATTAGCACAATCCGGAAATTGTTAGGTTCAAGTATAACAGGGAAAATGTGTACCACACAACAACACAACCAGCTATATAAATAACCTCTCAGAATCTTACTCTAGAGCTACCCTTATAGTTTCTGAATTTGTAAGTCCCATCCATCTTGGTCAACAACAATTACAAACAGCATTAAGGTAAGCTGCTCTGCTCATTGCTAGAAAGTTACAGATTTTGAAGGTCCAAGCAAGCTGAATATACTTCTATAAGATTAGGCAATCAGATACCAATTATAAACCCATAACTATAGAACATATCATATTAGGAACTTTGATATCATATATATGCTCAAGGCATGCACCAAACAGTAAAATACCAGCAATGAACTTGTCTTCCTTACCATGCCTGAAAAACTTCCAATAAGAAGTATCTTCCTTCCCAGTTTATCCATCAAAATCATTGCAACAAATGATCCTGAAGACATAAAAAAACAGTTAAAGTAACAGTCCACAATGATGCACAAGTTAGATACTTGATAATGTAGCCATTTATACCTATCAAATTGGCAATTCCCACGCACATGTTTGCAGACTCTGAAGGTACACCAGCGCTTTTAAAGACGGTTGACGAGAAATAGAAAACAGCATTTATACCAGAGAGCTGTTGTAAAGCAAAAAGGGTAGACCCCATGAAAACAACTGCAAATGGAGAAGTTAACAAGTAATCATTTAGAAAGTATATATAATACAGCTGAAATCTTTACTGAAAATTATTAGTATGTTCACCTTTACGATGATGGCCATAAAGTAGCTCCGAGAACTTGAATGTATTTGCATCATCCCCTCTATCTGACTTTGATAATTCAGCCATAGCACTTTTGACATATGGTCCTCCCCAAAGTTTTTCATACTCAGCTTCAGCTTCGGCACCTCTTCCTCTCTGAATAAAGTTCATAAAGCTTATAATAGTTCATTAAGAAAAAGATACTTGAAAATAACCAAAGGGAAAGGATATGTAACTGTTCATATTTTCCCTATTATAGAACAATCCACAACTCAGGAGCTTGCCATGTTAGTATGTTACATTCTCCAAAAAATTAAAATTTCAGGCTCAGAAGAGTTTTTTAAAACAATATGATGAGTCTGTTGTCCTATCTCAGTTTGTAGATGCTTATAAAATCTTAAATATCCAATTCATCTAATTATACCATACACTGAAATTTGATTTTTTTCGGTTGAATGTTTTTTTTTACAGAAATACTCAACTGCATAACATCTTCATATTCAGATCTTAACTCAAATTGCACTAGAAATCTTAGTATTTTAAATGATTGAAGTTAATGCATGGTATGATTAAAATTAATTGTTCACAATTCCAGAGAATATAACAATATAAAATTTGAACAAATTTTTCCGCTTTTTTAATTTTTAATATCATTAGTCTACCTGGGTCTAAATTTTATTAGGAGAAGCTGAAACTTACCTGATGCTGACCTTGTAATCAGAAAGTGTAAAATTATTATTGCTTTGTTTTGTGAAAAAGAATATTATTACTGAGTATGAAGGAAGAGCAAATCACCTTGAAAAGCCAATGGGGACTCTCTGCACAGAACTCCATAAAAAGAGCAAGAATAGCAGCAGGAGCAACAGATGCCCAGAAACACATTCGCCACCTGGACACATCATCAAGTTATGAAATTTGTTATCACTTTATGAATCCACAAAGCACAATCTTGACTTGTTAAAATTATTATTCTGATGACATTTTTTAGAAAAAGAAAGTAACAAGCAGGCACAACATCCAATGGTGGTGCCGTCTTCAGATTAGCTTCAAATAACCACGAACAACAGATTAAAACAACCCTTTTTTTCATTATCATTTTCGAAGCATTTCTTACCAACCCTCAATTTCCTTAGCAGGGAATCCAATGAATAGAGAACTCAACAATCCTAGCCCTGTTGCAATTTGAGTGAAGCTTCCATATTTACCTCTTACATAAGCTGGAGAAACCTGTACATGAGTCATATTACTATGTGAAAAAAGGGAGGAAAGAGAAGATGTTGAAAACCACAGAAAAATAGTCTATTAATCATCTCTTAGATACCTCTGTCACATAAAGAGCTGCCACAGGCGGGCCAGTACCCATTCCAGTCCCTACAAATAACCTCCCTAGAAGCATGCCCCAAAGGTTTTGTGCGGTTGCACTGCAAGAATAATTTTGGAATTATACATTTAAAGGAAAAACTTATTAAGAATATTAATTTAAATGACTACAACCGTGATGCCAAAGAGAACCCCTAAATTAATCTCTATAACTTAATTTTCTTATGAAAACTATAGGAGAAAGGTAGAAGGGAGTCAATATCTCTGAACAAAATGGCTCAGGGACCCTAAAATTAACAAGATAGATTTATCTGCGGAACTCAATTTTTGCCATGTGAACGTTAGTATGAGCTAAAATCCAAAAAAGAGAACTTCTGAACAAACCCTCAAAGACATCATCATATAAAAGCATTAAGCATAATGGAATAGCCCATTTGAGATAAATTCAAATACAAAAATTCTAGAACTTAAAGTAGATGAAATAATATTGCAATTACCTCATTGAAGCCCCAATTATCATTGGCAAAGCACATAGCTGGAATGCCCTGCGACGCCCAACCCCATCTGCAATCAAACCACCGAACAACGATCCAACAAAGGCACCCCCTAAACATGTACTTACAACTAGACCTTGATTTAAACAGAAGACAACACATAAGAACAATTTCTAAAATAAGACAAGAACAAGTTTATGGGCTTCAGTACCTTCAGCCATGGTATCCCCATGAAAACCAAGGTCACGTGAAATACTTTCTAGTGTTTCATTAACTACTCTGCATTAATAACAACAAGCATTAAGAATACATTATAGCCAGAATTCCAAGACATAACCAAAAAAAGAAAAAGATTCCCAAGAGGTACACACCCAAGATGATAACCATAAAGGAATGAAGATAATATTGCCACGAGTACATGCGGGAGTGAACGCTTCCAAGAAGGGTTTCCAATATCTTTGCCCACTCCAGTCAGCAAACGGTCTTAAAAGCCCATATAAAGATTCATCAAACTGTCAAACTTAATATTATTGAAACAAATAAAGAGTGCCTTCACTCATTCAAAAAATAAAACATATAAATTCTCTCCTTCTTAATTGGCTTGAATAAAAAATGACTTTTATATTACTTGGAATAAGGTCTGAGCGTCAGATACAAATATGTTCAATATTTTCTAAGATTTCCGTGAATTTGGAAAGCAATAACTGGTACGTCATGAAAAATGAAGAGTTGAGAGACATCATGGCTGTCAAAAGCAGGAAATTCATTGGCCTTGAATCGATATATATTCAGAAAGAACAGGTTCCAACCAGAGAAAAAGAATGCATGCTATAGCGATAAGGTTCTAAAACCCATAACATAAGAATGCAAAAACATAGCTTTCAACTTCATGCAACTTGCATTTTTTTTAAAAGGTTATAATATAAAATATAAATTCCTTCCTAATCAGTGGTCATTGACTATTTTTATGATCTTAATCACACACACACAAAAAATACAATTTGCACCTTCCAAATTAAGAGACAGATTAATAATGATACTTTACTTGCATGTCTCAAATAAATTCATGACCTAAACCCAAAATTAACCTAATAAAACGAGAAAGAAAATTTTAAATAAAGAATACCTGAACCTTGCTCCTTGTCATAGGTATCGACAGAGTGGTCTCTGGTCCCGCGCTTGTACATGGAATAAGAATCGGGTCGTCCCCGCATTGGCACTGCCACAGGTTAGTATAAACACCCTCTCAAGAATTGAATCAAAAAATAGAAATTTTTGCTTCGTCTTCTCTGCAAAATTAATGAAAGAGTAATTGATCTAATTAATCCGTCCAAGTTTTTTTTTGTTTAATCTTTAAATAATATAAGTAAAGGACTAAATTGAGAGATCAACAAGTTACGGAGCTTAGAAATTAAAAACACATATATTTAACTCTACTTGATATGTTGCTGTTATAAACAACCAGAACGCCGACGTTTCTCATGGATCAAGCAAAGGAGAAAGAAGATATCAGATTAAACGGATCAATGATTGAAAAACAGAGCAGAGGAGAGGAGGATTTAGCGGAAAAACGGCAACGTATTGGAAAGATCAAGTGTTAAAGAACTTACTATTTAGCGATTCAGCATTAAAGAAGGAGACAGATTCAGATTCAAGAAGACCAAGGAAATTGGAGAGCGCTAAACGGCGTCGTTTGTGAAGGATCAATGGTTGAGAAACAGAGCAGAGGTGGATTTAGATATTGAAAAGATCGACATGTTAAAGAACTCGCCATTTCGTGGTTCGACATTGAAAGAAGGAAACAAATTCAGATTCAAGAAGAAGAAGAAGAAGAATATAAGCATAAGAGAAACGACATGTCGCTTTAGGAAGAACAAATAGAATACCTGTAATTAGCTATGAGAGCATTAGCTTTTGAAGGATGATCCGATAATGGCGAAAATTATTAGAGATTATAGAGCCTTGAGAAAACCGAGGAGAGAAAAGAGAGATGGTAACAGAGTAACAGCAAGAGACTATAATGCGCCAAGAAGGAAGGTGTCTGATGTTTGCTGCTAACGTACGCATTGTCAACCTTTTTTGCATTTAATATAATATTTTTGGGGGACAAAGTGTGAGCTTTTTCTGAGTGAGAACAAAGCAAAAGAAAATCCACGCAACTTTTCGAATCGAAAACGACTTCTTTTCTGGAAACATTTGCTAACGCGCGCGAATGAAATCCACGTGTCAGCGCGTACAACCCAAAACACTCCAAATCTATTCTTTTATCGGTTTGTTTTTTAATAGATCATCGGACTTTTCACTATCTAATAATTTTCAGGGTAAACTACAGTTATCCCCCCTTAGGTTTTGGTCTGTCTTATTTTAATCACTATCATTGAATAAATTACGTTCTACAGACTTTTATTTTCTATCTATATTATTTTGGTTATTAAATCATTTAATCTCTTCAGTTTGTTGATATGATATATTAATAAAAATGCTTAAATTTTAATTTAATCTTTAAATTTTATATAAAATATTAATTTCACCCAAAATTTTAAATAAACTTCTAATTTAACACTTAAATATAAGATAAATATCAATTTAAACTTTGAATCTAATTAAAATTTTGTCTCTAACCCTCACTCATCACCGTCATTAATCACCATTGATTGTTATTACCAGACATTAATTAAAATGCTTAACTTTTATATTGTTCATGAAATATTTTTATAAATAAATTTAAATAAAAATATTTATAAATTATTGATTAATAGTTCAAATAGAATACTGAAGTTGTCAAAATTACCTTTGAGAGCCTAACTAAATACATAACCTCTATTTTAGTGATTGAATCTTAACAAAGAGAAAGAAAATGCCTATTTTATATAACAATTTTAAAAAATATCCTTAAAATATAACTGATTCCTAAAATTCATAACAAAAATAAGATGAAAAAAAAACCCTATAAATTATCATGTTTTTGTAAGCATGGTACATCTGGTTCAACTCTTCCATTTTTAAAGCCATGAGCATTGAGGCATGAGGTGTGGGCATTGTCGTCTTTATAGCTCAAACCGATGTCTTTCATGATTATATTTTTGCATGGGATGGACTCACTGCATGAAAGTTCAACTGCTATTTTCCTACTTGATGTCCCATGGATGTCTTCATACGTAACATTGCTAATCTCCACATTCGATGTCTGCAAATAATCATTAAAAATTAAATTTCTTGTAAACCTAGAACGAATAATGTGATATTGATCACCAAAAATTCACTTACTTGATTATTGCAACGTTTATGAGGACAATAATATTGGTCGATAACAATAGGATGAGTTGAAGCGTGAGAGATTATTTGTTCAAATATGATGTTTCTTGCATGTCCATGTCCTCCCTAAACACACAATTAACATGAATTATTAGTTATATAATAATTATTAATATATTTTAAAGAAATTATTAAAATAATTATATATACCTACCACGTCTTTATTCTGACTCCATTAGTTGTTTTATGAAAAGTAACATTCTTTACATGAACATATTCAACCTCCTCGGTTCTTCCGTGAATCCCGAGACTTCCAATGCTTCATGTCACAAAGAAAATTTAGAAATTAAAATTAGTACAAGTTCAATTTCATCAAGAAAAGAAAGATAAATGCAAAGGAAAAATGAAAATTCTTACCTAATTCCATGACCCGGACCGCATTCGATTTTAGTGATATTAATATATTTAGAACCATTTCCAATTGAGATACAATCATCGCCTGCATTAATAGACAAAATAATAGCATTAATAAATATATAATGAAATAAAATGAATAAATAAATAAGTAAACAGACAAACCAGTTTGAATGTTGGAGTTGTGAATAGAAACATTAGTGGAATGTTGAATATGAATGCCATCGGTGTTGGGACTTGTCTTGGGGGCTGTGATAGTAAGCTTAGTAGCATGAACAAAAGTAGACCTTTCAAGTGCAATGTGCACCTGTGGACTGTCTTCAAAGGTTAATCCATTAACCTTTACATTATTGGAGTCTGCAATCACCAAACCCTAAAAACAACAAACCCACATGATTTTCATGCAACCATAGATGATATATCTGCCATAAATCATTTTTTAAAAACTTGATATTCGAACACTTACTGTGGGTTTTCGGCTTGGGCAGTTCTTATTCTTATCTTTGCAAGAAATAGTCCACCATTTAGAACCCTGGCCATTGATGATACCAGATCCTTGAATGGAGAGACCATCGAACTTTCTGAAGCTAATCCAATGATCACAATCTGGTCTGCATTGCCATGCAGTAGGTTTCCTTGGGGCTACGATGTTGCCATCAATCTGCAGCACAAAATTTTCTCAAAAACTAAATAATAAGAAACAGATTGGAAATATGAACCGAGAGAAAGATAGGAATACCTGGAAAGTAATGTTATTGGAATTGCAATATTTGGCACTGAAAGTTAAGGGTTGCAGCATAAACGTTTTTCCTTGAGGTACATTTACCATTGGTGACGAAGCTGAGGATTCGCAAGCAGCATCCCATGCTTGCATAAAACTCTAAAATTTATACAAAGACACAAGTAGTTTATAATAAGATAGATGCTGTCAGTGTCATATATATAAACATAAAAAGAAAAACGAAAAAAAAAAGAAACCTGAGAATCATCATTAGCTCCATCTCCGGTAGCTCCAAAGTCGACAACGTCAAATATATGGACATCAATCTTCTTCTTCTTCGACTTGGAGTGTCGAGAAGATTCAGTCAATATGGCAGATTGAATCAAAAGAACAAACAAGAGGATTTTCAAAGTTGAAGCCATCTTCTTCATCAACTCTTTCCGAAGTACGTAGAATAGGATAGAAGGTAGAATGGTAGATTGATATGTATATATATATATATACAGAGAGACTGCGTATATATACTGAATTATTTTTCTAATTCGACAATGAAAAAGAGTTCCCTTTTGCAAGGAGTTTGAATATATTTATTATTAATATTGTTGAGTAATTATAAGCTTATCAAAGACTAGCAGAGAATGAAATTCAGTAAAAGTAGGAAATGTATAATTATATATAATATCTATAAAAAAATATAAATTATTATTGACTGTGGTAAAGTTTCTGTATAGTAATCATTAGTCACGAGTTTAAATTTTAAATAATGGATTTTATTTGTTTGATTATAATTTTCATAAGTAATAGAGATATTATATTTTCAAATAAAAATAATTATAATTTTTTAATTTAGTCTCAAATTGATTTGTGACACCGATTAAATTATGAAATTTAAGTTGGTAGAAATTCTCAATTTTGTTAGTTTATGTCACTACAACAAGTTGCAGCAAGTTGTAGGATCGAGAGCATGTTGGTAGCACATAATAACAAATTTTTTATTATTTCTTATTTTTTTTTGTAATTATTAATATATAATTTATATTGTAGAAAAATATGTCCGACAATAAATTGGATGAATAAAACTCTTTAATATGACACATACAAAAAACGATGGCTCTCTTATGGCTCCTGAAGCTACAGAAATTATGATATATTTATTGGACATAAAATATGAATTATGTTATACTTATATTTATAGTATAACATTTTTATTTGAAATAATGTTTGAATTCGTTCTAAATTCGTAATTGATTATTAGGAAAAAATGAGTGATAAAAGGGTGGAGTATGAAGCTCCAGCTTCATCTCAAGTTATTGTTGAAGTTTTTGGTTCTAAAAAATATGGTCAAGTTCACTGTCAGTGATCATTCGTTACCCAAACCAAATACTTTGGGTCCAGCTTGTTTTAGTACTTGTGATCACACAAACAATCTTCTCAATCAAAAGTTAATCAATTAAATCAAGAGTTGACTCAAGTGGATGAAAATTTTACTCAAATGAAAGCCAAAGTTGAAGCAAGAGAAGCAGAGAGATGAGCGAGAGAAACAGAGAGAGAAGGAGCATATCAGAAAAATATGAAGAACTTCAAAATCAACTTGAAACTATGCAACAAATGATGCAGCGAAATCAAGCGAAAAATTCACCACCCTATGTGATTTCTTAGGTTAATGCTCTGTTTATTCTAGTGACAAATGACAATGTTGAATTACATTACATTTGACTTCGATGTTTGTAAACTTTGATTTATTCTTGTCTTTAAGTATTTTTACTTAATTTAAATCGTAATTAAATTTTAAGTTCTTATTGGATATTGTTATAGGTTAAATTTGGGTAATATAGACCACGAAAAAATATTTGGAAAACCAATTTTGATTAGTGGCATTTTAGGATTAAAAACATCACTAATGGAGTATACATTTGCAGCGTTTGTGAGGACCATCGTCACTATATACATAATTATTAGCTGAGTTTTCAGCAGCAACAAAAAAACCACAACATCACAAAATATAGCAGTGTTTA